CGGATGAGAAACTAGACAAAATTTGTGCGAGAAACCAGAAACTGTTCTAGGGCGCATCAGTCGCTACTTATAGATTGCTAAACGCGCAGTCCAGATTAACAATCCAAAGCTTATTAAATCCATCGAATGTTCAATGCCTTTATCACGAAAAAGATGTGGATTCCATGATGTCACAAAAGGGGGTTTTAATGGCACACACATACCAAGCATGAGCTGGATGCTTCTGAATGGACGATTCTACATCTACCTAAATTGCTCGAAAATGTGCATGTGAACAGCGCTAAATATTTCAGTAGCACAAACTCTTTCATTATACCACGGTTTAATATTACAATGCCTTAGATTTCATTACTATAAATTTCCACCTGGATTTGACTTTACACGAAGCCTTTTTTATAAACTACGGCAGGTTAAGGGCAAATTAAAAGCTTCGACAGGCAACAATCTATACAACATCATGTGAATGTATTGCGCTTACTCACAGAAGGAATTGAGTTGTGCTCTGAAAAGATCCTAAACCACAAATAAACTTCGGGAACAGAAGACATTTTTCAATTAATCTTCGTTTTGCTAGCAAGGGTTATTGCAAACTCCCGATAATTTATTCCATTCTTTTGTACGTCAATTGCGGAAGCAAGCATTTCATCCATCTCATCTCGAGTAAACTTTTCACCTAATGAATATTAACTTGCGTTAAATTGCACCTTCTCTCATTAAATGCTCCTCAAGAACATCTGCATCAACTACTCCGGTTTTTTCGGGATCAAAAACTCGAAACGCTTTAACAATTTCATCCTCAGGAAGAACTGAGTACCTTAGAAAATAAGCTAGTTCAAGACTTACATCTTGTCAATCAATATTTGTCCTATCACAGGCAGAAAAGTTTCATAATTTATGCAACCATTAGGTGGAGAATTTTCAAGCTTAAAGTGTAACAAACATACCAACCATACTTTGGCAGTGAGCTTAACTAAATCGGCTTCCGAAGGACATAATCCAAGACTGCGGACTATGGTGCCGAGCTCACGAGAATCCACGGTTTTATTACGCTCGTGATCAAAAAGATCAAACGCCTCAAATATTTTTGCATCAATATTTTCCAGTTCTTGGGAAACATTAACACCTTACATGAATCATACCGGGATCAATCATGTTATCAATCGTATGTGTTATAGTGACCGTTGCTGCGACCTACAAATAAGATAAACAACTCCATCGGCATAACAAAATTTTGAATGGTTTGCAACAAAACTAATTAACTGTTGAAGAATTTCAATATGAGCGCGACGTTGTAATGTGATATTTTATGAGTGCATTTTGGTGACTTGAGTCAGCCTACAAGTTAAATGTTGTGACCATTTTTGCCTAACTTTTACTTTAAAACGCCACACTTAGGGAACATTTTTGCTTTTGTATATGTCATTTTATTTTCTTGTACTGACTTACTCGGGTAGTCACCTCAAAACCTCGTTGTTGAATGGTTAGCTAGCAGCCAGTGCCGCCGTTTTAACACCGACGCGGCAGTGGTTTGGTGTGTGGTGCTCTTTCGCCAGGTCGCTACTGTAAAATATTTTGTACTGCGATTATCGTAGTTATACCCCAGTGTACATAGTTTATCCACAATGAGGTTGTTGTGTTTTGTAGGTCGGATACAGCGCCCCATGCTTTACATATTTTGTAAATAAAGAATATTTTCTAAATTCCTACTAGACTTTCGAGCTATTTGGCAACTTGTCGTGATAGTGGATGTTTTTAAATTATTAGATGTATGCACATCCTGAGTACAGACTGTTCATTTGCGCCGGACATGACCTATCAATGCCAAAATCGTGGCTGAAATTGTGTTGCTTATTGGGGTCCTTGAGCCGGATGTTCTCTATTCCTTTTTATTTTGTCAGTTTTGTTGTAAAAAATTAACTAGGTATCCTTCACTGTTACCAACAAAGGCAGGTTTGTAAACTTTCGCTTTAAGAGTACTCATCGCACATTCGTAGTCGAATATATCTACTCCGTAGGTTTGAACATATCGGCATGATATCTGAGGTTCTTCCATGGCCTGCACCAACTTCGCTGGTAGGGTTTTCACTTGGCATCCTATCTCTCCTTATTTTTGACTGTATTCTCTTGAGTTATACCCCCTTCTTTAGTATCTTCTCCTTAATCATCCTCCTCGCTACATTCGTATCTTTACTTTCCCTCATCTCCTATGCAATCCTACCTCGTGCAGTTGACTTCTTTTCTTCTTACGCCACTCGTGGTCGGGATCTCGATCCCAAGGGGTACCGTCAAAACCTCGCCATTGCCTTCTGCCTCGGTGGTGTCTTTCTCTTCGGACTCCTCCTCACCCTCCACGCCTTCAAAGAGCTCTGCAACTCTCGTGCTGTGTGGCCTTTCGGCCTCTATCTCACCTTTCTCGCCTTCTTTCACTGGTCTGAGTTTTTCGTTGTCGCTTTGACTAGCCCTTCGAGAGCCGGTGTCGACCTCTACCTGTTGGATCACAGTCCCGAGTACCTGGGTGCAATGGCCCTCAGTTTCATCGAGTATTGGCTGGAAGTTTACTTTTGGTCAGCCAAAACCACTTCCTTTCTCTGGCTTAATCTCACTGGACTTCTAATCTGCGTAGCGGGCGAGGCTTTCCGCAAGATGGCCATGTGGACGGCGGCAGATAACTTCTCGCACTACGTCGAACACACATGGCGACGTGGGCATCGGCTGGTTCGAAAGGGCGTCTACGCCTGGTGCAGACATCCCGCCTACGTGGGCTGGTTCTTCTGGAGTCTCGGCACCCAACTCCTCTTGGTCAATCCTCTCTGTTCTTTTATCTACCCTCTGGCCGCGTACCTCTTCTTTCGCGCCAGGGTTTACTCCGAGGAGCGCAGTTTGGTGGCCTTTTTTGGCGACGCCTATCGCTCCTATCAGCGTGAGGTCCCTACCGGTCTGCCTTTCATTCGCGGTTACGTTGAGCCAACTGTCCGCGCCAGCACCCGCTAGTGTGCTCCTTTTTTATTTCCTCTTTTTATTTTAATATTCAGTAAACCTACGTTCAGCGGTACTCCACGACTTCTGTCTTGTTTGGCTGTTTGTCTGTGCCCCTACTGTGGTTTGTCTCTCAAACACACGAGCCATTTTACCATCTAATTAGATCATTTTCTAAACATACTGGGGCTCAGGTGGGCTTTTTATGTATATGTAGCAGCCGGTGAATGATATTCTTTGTCATGATGTCTTTTGCTAATGTGGTAGTAAGTGTTCTATACTATGTGAGCTTTATAGTAATTTTTATCCCCTTCACATAGTCTTCCTTTTAAACCACTGTTTTGCACTTTTTAGGCGGTGACGTTGCACACAGATTTGGGCGACATCAAGGTTGAGTTGTTCTGCATGCAAGCACCCCTTGCCTGTGAGGTGAGCCATTAGGAGCTTTGTTTTCTTGCCTTTTCGTCAAACAGACAGTACCCTATCTCCCTCCCCCAACTACATCCTATCTTCCCTGATGAACCTCAACTCTTATTTGGAATGTGCACGTCGGTGCATCTGCCTCACTGTCGCACCTGCCTCTCTGCCACGCGTGCTGACACTCTTCCAGGAGGCATCAGCCAATCTTGAAAATGCCTACTACTGGCAAAAGGGTGGGGGTCTTCTCCTTCTCCAATCACGCTCTCAGATCGCTCTGCACAAAGCCCTCCGCCAAATTCGTGTTGTCCCTCGTGCCTACCTCCCAATTCTCACTACTGATGGCAGTACTGAGCGATTCAACCTGCCTTACTACCGAGTCTGTTCTGACCCCTCTATTTGGCCCGTATCTTCTACTTCCGAAGAGTGTGACGAAAATTTGGTTCGATTTCAACCTGCTCCGCCCTCCCCTTCTGCATTAGAAAAGCTCCTTCTTCAGCAGGACTCCATTTTGGGTCAGATGCAAAAACTAGTTGATTGTACAACCCTCTGCCATTCCTTTCGGCTCGCCCTTTTTACCTTCTCGGATAGTCTTTCCGAAATCCTCAGCACAATTAGACCTGGCTCCTCCGTTTATCCCTTCGGCTCGGTCATCAATGGGCTTGGCTCGAATTCCAGCGACTTGGACGCAGTGGTGAATCTGGGTCTCGAAGTGCCTTCTAGGCTACGCTCCTTTGCTCAATTTTGTTCCACATCAGTGGCCAACTTACACCAGCATCCTTCCACCTCCGGACTATCTATAATGTACGGCTTGTTGAACTATAATGGCCAGACAAACTACCACACACTCACTCCTGTGCGATACCTCCTCAAGCGTCTCGATCCACTGAGTGGTTCTAACTCACGGGTGTTGCCCGGTCGTACACCCATCATCAACTACGCACGTCACAAGTGTCTCGGCGTGGGTGTAGACATTTCTCGCAGTTCCGGTGATTTTGACACCACCCGACTGGTGCTTCACGCCGCCTATTGGATGCGTGCACTTGTCACGCAGGTGCCCGCCTTTCTCTACCTCGCTAGTGCCCTCAAGTTTCTCATGCGTGGCGTTCGTATCACTCACCATGGACCATCTTTTGGCTTTACCAACTACAAATTGACCTCTCTTCTGGTTTCTTTTCTTCAAGTAGCTGTGGAACAGGCACCGGCTTTGGAGTATCTCCTCCTACAAGATGATTGCTCCATTCCTGAACAAATTTTCATCTATGAGGAACATCCTCACTGTCCTGTTGAAGCACCGGACTTGTTACTTCAGTTTTTCGCCTTCCTGCGAGCTCAACAACCTGAGAAGAGTACTTTTTGTCTCCGATCTGGCCGAATTTTGCCTCGTGAGGGGCAAACCAGCCAGGGTCACTTTTTGCACTGTCCCAATCCCCTTGTGCCCGAGCAGAACATCACCCATGGCATCAGTGCCGAGGCCTGGCGTGAATTATTGGACGCCATTGATTATATGGAGCACGTTTTGCTGCAACCCCGGCCTCAATCCGGTGTCTGGGGTCTTCCCGCCATGACGAAAAGCATTAGCCAGCCGCAAACTTTTTCCCGTCCAGAGCTCTCTCAAGCAAACCACTGACAATTATCTGTCTCCCCTCTTCGTAGTAAAGTCTTAGAGACTGTAAATCAACTCCGTCTTATGCTCGTTTTTTATCTTTTTTACCTTTCGCTCGGATGTTAGAATTTTCTCGCTCTCTGTGCCTCTGACTACTACAAGGGATGTATTTTTCATAGAAATATTAAGGGTTTTATAGTTCAGACAGGCGATCCAACAGGTAGGTGACAATTGCTATTCTACGTCTCAATAATGCTCTCCAGGCACCGGGAAAAATGGTCAGAGCATCTGGAAGCAGAAGTTTAAGGACGAATTTGATGACGCACTTAAGGTGGGTGCTTTTGACTCCCACTTTGATTCTTTTCTTTTTCTAGCATAATTCCAGGGGCATTGTCTCCATGGCCAACAATGGGCCGGATTCCAATGGATCGCAGTTTTTTATTACTTATAGTAAACAGACTATGCTAGATATGAAGTACTCAATATTTGGCAAGTGGGTTGTGTCCACTTTAGACGTTGTTCATGCTCAAGAAGTGCTTTAACATGTAAAATATACCTTCTGGTGCAGGGTGATCGATGGTTGGGATGTTCTCGATGAACTGGAACGTGCTCCTGTAGAAGATAAGACCTACAAACCTCTCACTGATATTCACATTCAAGACATCACGATTCACGCCAACCCATTCGCCGAATAACCATGTCTCCCTCAGTACAACTTTTTGTGTTAATAAAAGCCACTCATACACGCTTTTCGATTCTTCCGAAGGCTTGCCTTGGTAAAAGTGAGTGGCTGTCGCCTTCTTTTTCCTCTAGGTCAGTGCGGGTGAAATTCGATTGATCAAAGGATTGAAATAAGAAGGATGACATCCGGGTGTTTTGCTCTTGGTCTCTTCGGTCAAGTTGTGATCGGTCCGCCAGGCAGTGGTAAATCGACCTACTGTTCTGCAATGCAAGAATTTCTTGCAGAACTAGGCAAGTTGAATGCTTTCAATTTTTAATTAATTTTTTGGTAAAAAACTAAATTCTCTAACACCTATTGTGGCCAACTGTATGCTCAGTGTTGTCAAATCGGGTATTGGATAGTGCCTATTTGTTAAGCTGTGCCCCTATAGGGTGTGGATTACTAGATGCGCCGGCCTTGATGTGCTTCGTTAGTATTTTTTGTATTCTGATATTTTGTTTTGATGGCTTTCTCTGGACCACTCATTTTACTCCGTCTTAACAATGCCGCGGTTCTGATTTTATATGGTTTAAATTGGTCTAGATTCCAATTTTCAGATGCTTTTGCTAAAAAAATTATTGCATTTGTCCCACTTGAGAGCACATGTAAAATTAGTTTTTTGTTCTTGCTTTAGTGAAAGTGGTGTGATTAATATCCGTCTGTTTTGTGTCCAAATTGATTCTTTCTACAAGCTGGGACAGTTTCATCTTTGTTTGACATTGCAGTCTTCACGGCCTGTGAATTTTATCGCGTTGCTTCTCTCAGTAACTTTGTGAAGTCGATTTTTTGTGTATGTGTTAAAGGAGTTCAAAATACGTTCGTATTGAAAGCAAAATTTATCTTCACCTCCCATTCAAAGTGTTGCCTTAAAGCTGGTTAGTCTTCCAAGGGTGCACTTACAATATTTCACACCTTGTGGATTGTTTTTAGTTTTAAAGTTTAAGCCGCGTTTAACTCGGGATATTTTTTTGTTAAATGCTCCATTTTCCCCAATTCACGTGTTTTTCGGGAGCCAATTTCTTTTTTACACAGGATCTTTTTATTGGTTTGCGTTTAAATATTTGCATCATAAAAGCACAAGTGTTCTCCTGAGCTAAGTTAGTCTAATGCATATGACCACTTCAAGGTTGGCTAATCGACTCGAAACTTTAATGATAGTTTTGAAGAGCCGCTGTTGTTCTTACTGATTATCAGTGACGGTTCTCTGGGCTTAAATATCTACAGAATGACACTGGTTTACCTTTTTGGAATGTAGAATAATGCCAATCGAAGAGATTAGTTAATGCCGCTGTAGAGAGAAGTTCTTTTATGTGCTGTGGGCAACCAGTATCTGACAGAAACAAAAATCAGTGCATGGATTGCTATCAAAAGATTTTCTTATTTACTCGTAAAAATGCCATCATATGAATCTAGGCCGCAGAGTGGTGGTTGTGAATCTTGATCCGGCCAATGAGGAGTTACCGTACAGCTGTGAGGTTGATCTGCGTGATCTCATCACCTTGGACGACGTGATGGAGGCGTTGCAATTAGGTCCTAATGGAGGACTCCTCTACTGCATGGAGTACCTCTACGCCAACCGCCAGTGGCTCGCTGAGCGTCTGCGCCCATTCAGGCAGCAGTCGGTCAAGACATACCTCATCTTTGACTGTCCCGGTCAGGTGGGTGACTTTAGTACCTATTCTTTTCTTGAAATTGCAACTTTAATGGTACCATTTACTGCCCCTCCAAGTATAGTATTCACTTGATTTCCCCTTACCATTTGTTCATTTAAAATGAATGACAGCTTTTGAAACAGGCATCAGCTCAACTACATCGTGTCATTAAAGGACTTATTTTACATGTTATCATTGTGTCGAACAGAACGGTAGTGGACTGCGATGTGTTGCTGAATTTGCGCCTTTTTCATGAAACTCTTGCTTTTGTTACAGGCGAATTTACTTTGGGAATGTTTTACCTTTCGAGTTGCAAAATCTTCAATAAAAGATGCTTTTTTCATATATCTGATTCATTCAAATTAAATGTTACTATTGCTACCCAGTGGTAATAGTTCGCCATCCAGTCTGGTCAACCAACGACAAAAATCGTTTTATTCATTACCGTAAAATTTTGTCTTTGTTGGGTTAGGCTGGTCGTAGTTAAATCTAGTAAACTTATTTTAGAAATTGTGCATAGATCACTACGGTTTTTCCACATTTAATCGCTTGTTGTATTCCTGTGCAGAATGGCGCAAACTACGAGTCGAGATCTGTGTTGCGATGTCTAGCCAACTGACTTTCTGTAGGGGACCAAGGTGCCCTTATTCCAAGATCATGAGAACATATGGCAGCTTTTTATCAATTTTGTTCAGGCTCCCTTTTAAAAGAGTACATGGAGCTTTTCAAGGTGGTAAAAATTTTATTGATATACCGGATCCACAAAAAACATCTCTTACCTCTGATATCATAGAACGTCGTCATCGTCTCAATCGTTTTCACAAACGATCTTTGATGCTGCAGCAGGGTTTAAGTCGACCCCTATGTGGTTTTTTTAGGCCCAAGCTTAGGGTTCTAATATGACTGGTTTGAACGGTGAACAGGACTAAGTTTTAACCCGTAATATGCTCCACCGTTGATAAGCATTGAAGAATGAGAAATTCGTTCTTTGATTAATGTGTGCCCTTTCATTGGGTAGGAATGACACCTACTTACAAACTGGCAGTTTAAAATATTGGTGTCGATGGTTTTCACGAACTTTGCAGTGGGGTTTAAATTTCGTAACTTCTGCCTCTAATTTAACGCACGCGATTCGTACCTTGATAACTGATCTAGTATGATGGGCGACAGTCGGTTTTAGATTGGACTGAACTCCATTGTTGATAACCACCTGAATTCGTGAAAGTATGCCCGTGTTACTGACATGTTCTCGGTTAATTCGGCACCCAAGTAATCTTTGAAAATCCCCTCTCTCCTTTTTCCTTTCTCTACTAGGAAAATGCATTGGAAACAACTTTAAACTGGCCGATATATATGTTAAAATAGCGGTTTCTTACTTCCTTAGGTTCCGCTCATTCACATTACCTGATTTCTGATTCAGTTTCTGCCATAAGACCTACCGTATATGTGGTCTCATTGCAGGTGGAGCTGTACTGCAACAATACGGCCTTCCGCAAGCTTCTTACTTTCCTCACTCACACCCCTACATCAAATAGCAGTCTCACAGACCCGCGTTCGGGCCTGGGTCTGCGACTGGCCGCGGTGCACCTGGTAGATTCTCACTACTGCACTGATGCGGGTAAATTTATTTCGGTGTTGCTCACCTCCCTGGTCGCTATGCTCCAGCTCTCCCTGCCTCATGTTAACGTTTTGAGCAAAATCGATCTCGTTGAGCTCTACGGTCAGCTCCCCTTTAATCTGGATTTCTTCACCGAGGTCCTCAATCTCTCCCACCTCGTTGAACAGTTGGAGGTGAGGTACTGCGCTGTGTTTTCTCCCAGATTAGCGTTGGTTACTGCGATGACTGTAAAAATAAGGCGATTGTTAGACAGCTATAAATGCGACCTAAGTAGACCCGGTTTCTCCGCTTCTGTGTGTTTCAAATTTTTCTAAACATTTTTTCTCGTATATTTTTTGTTAAATTTGGTATATACCATGACCATTTGTGGTATAACCGGTTTTCTCATTGAATTTGTGAGAGTGCGAAGTAGTCAGGGAGAAATTATTTCTACAAGCACTGAACAGCTGGGCTATCAAGTACAGGTGGGACGAGCAGAGCCTCCTTGCCACTCTCGTTCGGTCGTGCTTGTGGTGAGCAAATGCGATCTAGGTGCTAGTCAGAGAACCGAATATTTTGTGACGATTTAAGAGGCAACCCGGCTGTGGTGTGTTCATAGTCGTATGGGGTAAATCGAAGGCGGTAATTACAAGTGTCGGGAACTTCTGTGAGGCATCCTCTCTGCCTTACGAATTGGTGAATATGTATAACGAGCAGCGTTGGTTGGCTTCATTACCGTTGCCACTTTTGCAAATTGTTTAACTGAAGGTTCAACCATTATGAAGTTATTCATTTAAGAAGATTGTAAGTAAATTTCTCGGTGTATGGGTTGATCCTCGTAATAGTTTTGCGCCGTACATTTCCACTTGCATTGAAGTGCATCATTCATAAAATGAGTAAAGGTCCATTTTCTGCGTAAGAAATAATTTAAAGACCTGATGTTCTGTTTAGCTATTTCAGCATTCACTCATAAAATTTGCAAAATACGGCGGTGATAGCTTTTTTAAAAATTTGTTTATTTTCCAACTAGGACGATTTATTCTTTGCAAAATACAAAAGGATGAATCAGGCTCTCGCTGACCTCGTGCAGGACAGATCTCTTATCACATTTCAGATTTTGAATGCCCAGGTTGGTTGGTTTTCCATGTACATAATCCATATTCTGGAGCCTCTTTACCATGGACAGAAGTTTTACCTTGGTCTCATTTCTTCCAATCACAGACATCCTAGTTACCTTATTGACCATTCATGAGATTTCAGGAGATCGAGTCATTTTGTGCAATCCCGAAATATGGCCTTTGTATATTATGGGCTTCTAAAAGGTCACATGACTAATCCCTAGTTTTTTGGGTCCCTCAGTACCGCAAAAATGTGAGCGAATGCCTGTTTACTCGCCGTGGCTTCACTTTTGTAAAGTGGCATGAGGCCCTGTGTTGACTTCTGGCACTAATTTACTGGCGTCAAGATAGCTACCATTTGTGTAACATCGTTCAAAGTAAGCAGTCCTTCACTAGGCTTTATTTGCAAAGTCATTCGGCTAGTTTTGCCTCGAGAGGTTTTAAAGGTTTGCTTGTTATGGTGGTGGTTGTAGGATCGAACCCTGCTTCATCGGGTGATGCAGTGCGTAGACAAGGCGAACGGTTACGTCTTTGGCAGGGAGGAGCAGCAGTCACTGCAGGCGCTGCTCTCCTGCGCCGCTGGTGCCGAATTCACCAACGATCTCGTCTGCATGGCTCAGGAGCGCTACACCTCCCGATCTCTTCACAGGGACTGACTATATGTCCATTTTAATAATAAGGCTCATTGTATTCCTATTTTCCTTTATTTTTACTCTGGATAGAAAGTGTGATAACACTGAGTGAGATAAAAGTGTGGTGTGTATTCCAAAACGAAGTGGGACGAGAGGGGTAGAAGTCGTTGGTTCTCGCGAGTGTTATTGGTTTTCGGGTGGTGGGTTTTTAGGCAAAAACCGGGATAGGGTGCTTAGACTCCCAGCTTCGGTGTCGGTATTGTTTAGTCAGTTCCAAAATCGCCAAAGTAAAGGGGGTTCGAGCCTTCAAAGATAAACAAGTTCCGTAGCGAGTGGAGGCGTTCATTTGGTGCACAGCTAACTTTCCGCTAAAAAGTGAGTAATGGCTCACCAAGTTCCACCGATGTAGTTGTTTGAGCGAATGGAAAACTACCAGGGCTAATAGTTTACTTACTTTTCTGATTTGGCAGCAGGCCACGCAGAAGCTCAGCTACTGTCCCTGTACCAGGTAACTTGACGTCCAGGCCAAGCCAGTGGCTTAAATCCCACTGTAGGCCGACAATGCATATTCTGCCCAAGTATTATATCGTTTTTAGCCCTCAGGGAAGTTTCTAGGTGCTATGAATAGTTGCCGAAATTTAGGTTATATTTGTTAAAAGATCAC